TAGTATCACATCCTGCCTACCTAAGCACAATTTTAATGCCCTCCATCACAGGCTCTGTCCTTCACGTGTCTCAGATTCTATTCCTTGGCACTGCCTAGGTATCTGGCCGTAGGCAATAATGACGTGATAGCTGAAGGATTTCATTCTTTTATAGGCTGACGCTTGTTTGGGAAGAGAGAGTCAGTCTGACCAAGCTTAAAGAAAAAGTGATCACTGAAGATGGAAGGGTTATATTAAAGATTGAACATGAAGAATGGAAGGTATTATGAACATGGGGGTGCTGCTATTGAAACGTTTAAGGAATTTGGCTTTGTTATTTCATCTTTGCTATTCCACTTAATGGGTTTAAACATATTTTATATGCTCCCTGCTTTCTGAAGGAGCTGGGTTAAAGCAGAACTAATGTAGTTCAGTTATTCTTTCTTATACTTTTTAAATGCAATGCAAAATTGCAATTTGAGCTTAAAGACCAATGGTGGGGTGAGGCAACACTGTTTAATTCTTCTGGACTTCTTTTTTTAATTCACACACATCCAACTGCTTTTGCTGTTGCTGGGGAAAAGATATGGGTAAGGTATTGTCTTGCTTTGTATGTGTGTGTGGCGGGGGGGAGAATCCATCAACTACATATCAGTTTATGCACATTCTCTTCATTTTACTTTGGTTCGTTTTCTTATTTAGTCTTGGTTGGATTATTGCAGGGCTCTTGGAGTTGGTTGTTTAAGGAAGGAATCACTTCCCGCTAACTTTTCTGCACTAATTAAGAAACCATGCTTAGTTTGGCTTGCTCAGTGACTTTTAAAATTTACTTTTTATCTTTGCAAATTTAGACGCTACCTTCTTGCTTACTGAAACTGAACCACCTCCAGGAATGGCAGCTTCACAGAACTGGTTTGGTAAAAATTCCTGAATTCATTGGCCGCTTTCAAAATCTCATTGTGCTAGATCTGTCTCGAAATTCCATTGTGGAGCTGCCTAAGCAGATTGGTGAGTTTGAACGTCTTTGTCTCTTATGGTTTCCACTCTGAATCCAGTAGCGCTGTGGGAGTTATATCACCATGTTTTTGAAATTAAAAAAAAACACCTTGATGAAGATTAAATGTGTTGTATTTCTTGGTTTTTGAATTCCAGATGGGTGGCTATGGTGGGCTGTATCAGCAAAATAAAACAAGAGTCTGGCAGCACCTTAAACTAACAACATGTATTCCAAGATAAGCTGTCCTGAGCCAGATCTTAAGGTGCCAATGGATACCTCGTTTACTTGATTTTCTAATATTGGACTTAGTATTTTCCAGTCCCCATTGATTGGCTGTTGCCCTCCACTTTGCTCAGAGTAGGAACAGACAACTAGCAGCACAGGCGCTCAGTCTGATGCCCAGGAAATTCCTATCTGTTCTCAGCATCATGGCCGTTTCCAAGGACCCCTCCCCTGTTTACTTGAGTTGCTTTTCCTCGCACAAAGAAGACCTAGGCAAAGTGCTCACAAATTCCCTTTCTTCCCACGGTATGAACATAGTGTGTATGAAGTCTTTCCCCTAGCTCAGTAGAGAGCACATAGGCTGTAGGCAGATTGTCCCTTTCAGATTCAATTCCCAGCACCTCCAGCTAAAGGATCTCAGGCAGCTGGTGTTGGGTAAGACTTTCTCTGCATGAGGACCTGGCGAACTGCTGCTGGTCAGAGAGGACCGTAGTGAGTTTGATGGTCCAATGGTCTGACTTGATATAGGGCAGTTTGATTTGTCCATGTGTATATGCTCTTGCTGACTGACTCCCACGCAGAAGACAGGACACAAGTGACCAGGAGAGACCAGCTGCGACACATCAAGGGATATAGCCACAGCAGTGGGATGAGAAGGGTCTCATCACTCTTTTTCATTTTAATTCTAAATACTGATTAAACTTTAGGTCAGCATACATTTCCCAAATACGTTGGTGTTCAAGCCACTTAAAAACTAGAGAATCAGTTCAATTTTGTTGAACACACCAGCAGTCCCGTTTATTCTCTGCTTATTCTGCATACCTTTCTCCTTGTTCCTGAAAACCAGTGGTTCTTAGCCTTTTGTATCTTACATCCCACCAGTCATTGTATCAAAGAACCTGGGTCCCACCGTGATAAAAACAAAAGGCCCTCTTTTTCTGAGAAGGATATGCGTATGTTTTTACAGGGATACTGTTACTATATTGATCATTTTAGGCGAATTTCAAGGACATTAACAATTGCTGCAGTATTGTTGGGAGTAAATTCTGTTGCTGTGGCTTTAACGTATAATCCCTGGCTGGTAGGGCTGGCAGGAAGTTGCACATCAAAAGCACTTATTGGTGGGCAGGGGGAATGAGGTGCTAGGAGAAACCCTGAGTGACAGGCATGCAAAAAGATAATTCCTGGCAGGTAGGGTCAGTAGATGACCAGTCACACTTGCAGGTGGGCATGGGAGAGCAAATTCTTTCTGTTATGAAAACCCTCCATCTCACCTAGAATATGTCTGCGTACCACTGGTGGTATCTGAAAACCACGGCTGTAAACCCTCTCCTTGATCTTCGTGCTACCTTAGAGTTTAGTTAGTACCGCAGAAGGTAGATGTTGCTTTAGGAATAATGTCCACACAAGGGCTGCTACTAGGGCTGCCAGCTCCAGGTTGGGAAATTCCTAGAGATTTGGGGAAGCTAGAATCTGGCTACTCATTAGCGTAACAGGCCACACTCCTGAAAGCACAGCATATTAGCATATTAGGCCACACCCCGTGTCACCAGAAGTGTGGTCATCCAGCCACACCCACCTTTCGCTTCTTATTCTGTTTACCTTGTTTGTTATCAAAACCCAGGGCTTTTTTTTTGTAGCAGGAACTCCTTTGCATGTTAGACCACACACCCCGAATGTAGCCTATCCTAAAGAGTTTCTGCTGTTGGGTGTGGCCTATTATGCTAATGAGTTCCTGCTGGGCGTGGCCAACTCAGAAGCCAGCTGGAACTCCGTTCCTGTGTGTTCCTGCCCAAAAAGAGCCCTGGAAGGGACCTCAGCAGGGTATAATGCCACAGAGTCCTCAGTCCACCCTCCAAAACAGCGATTTTTGCCAGGGGAACTGATCTCTGGGGAACTGATCTTGAGTGTCTGGAGATCAACTGTAATAGTGGGAGATCTCCTGGTGCGACCTGGAGACTAGCAACCCTAGTACCATGATTCCCCTCCTCCTCCTCCAGCTTATTTCAGGTCCCTGACATCCCCCTCCCCGACTTGACACTATGCTATTTATTGAAAAGGAAGCTTTTGACAGGTGATTATGTCAAGGTTTTCTTTGATTTCTTATTTTTGCAGGTCAATTGTCAAATCTCCAAGAGCTGAACGTCAGTTATAATAAAATTAAAACCATTCCTAAGGAGCTAAGCAATTGTGTCAGTTTAGAAAGACTGGAGCTGGCAGTTAACAGAGACATCTGTGAGCTTCCCTACCAGGTTTGCAAAAACGTTTTCTCCCTCTTTCTTTACTTAGTATGATGGAGGGCATACACACAGCTCTGTTTTTAGTACCAGAGAAACAAGTGTTGAATCTATTCCTACATTAAAGGGCTAGTTTAGAGTTGCAGCCCCCCTCTTCCCAAACACGAGAGCTTGAGGGGGGGGGGAGCACCTGGGCTTGCTGCTAGGCATGATTGACACAGAAGCAGTATGCCATTTGTGAGCCTAGCGTCTACTTGGGGAGCCACCATTTGCCCAACTACAGCAGCTACTTCAGAGCTGCTTCTCTCAAGAGCAGTTCTCTCAGAGCTCTCTCAGCCCCACCTACCCCACAGGGTGTCTGTTGTGGGGAGGGGAAGGGAAAGGAGTTTGTAAGCCGCTCTGAGACACCTTTGGGTAGTGAAGGGCGGGGTATAAATCCAATCTCCTCCTCCTCCTCCGCAGAGCCCCCAGTAGCCCCACCGTAGCGATGAACCAGCCTGGAGGAAGTTTGTTTTGGGAGGCAGCCATGTTGGTCTGCAGTAGAACAGCTAGATTAGAGTCCAGTGGCACCTTAGAGACCAACAAGAGTTTGGGTGTATATGGTTTCAAGAGACAAAGCTCCCTTTGTCAGATACCTGACGGAGGGAGCTTTGACTCTCGAAAACAAGTATCTTGTTGATATCTTAATGTGCCGCCGTACTTGAAGCTACCTGGAGAAAATGGCAGCTTCAGAGAATAGACTGCGACACCACACCCCTGCTGATCTTCTTCCCCTCCCAAACTGCCCTCCCCAGGGGCCACCCCCAGATCTCCAGGGATTTTCCAAACTCAGCAGCCAACTCTGTTTTGCTTATTATATTTCTTTGCAGAATTTGTCAGTCCTGTTTTCCCCTTACCTATTCAAATTCTGTGATCAGATGTATTCAAATCTTGAAAAGGTGTTTCCATATTTGTCTGACACTGTTTACTCCAAAGCAATGTGATTATGTAGAAGTTACAATTACACGGCCGACTGGTTCTTGCTGTTGGAACAGGACAGCCTGGATTACTGAAGCAGACTTACATGGCAGATCACTCCACCATCTGTTTCACAGACATTCTGTGGCGGTGGACTTGTATTGCTGACCAGATACAGTGTTAAAAGTGGCTCAACAAGAATGCAGCCTAACTACAACCCTTAAGATTCCACAATAGTGTCACTGGGCTTCTAAAGCCATCTTCTAGAGGAAGCGGTGTGACGCAGAGCTGGCAGCACCCCAAGCAAGGCTGGGTACCTCACTGGAGCCAATGGGTGTTTGAAGGGCCCACATGAAGCTGCCTTTAACCGAAGGAGATCACTGGTTCATCAAGGTCTGCTCAGTGGCTCTCCAGGGTCTCAGGTCTTTCATTTCAGCTACTGCCTGGTCCTTTTAATAACTGGTGAAGCTGGGGAATGAACCTGGGACCCTTTGCATGCAAAGCAGAGGTACTTCCACTGTGCCACAGCCCCTTCCCACTGAGCTGAGTCATGGAAATATTAGTCTTTAGGCTTTTCTCCCAGAGCTCATAAGACCAGTGTTTATGTGCATGGGGAAATGATTAAAGATCACAGAAAGGACAAGAGTAGTGTACATATTTCTCCTCTCCTGGACCAGGGCATATACATCTTGCATAGAATCCTCAGAAATTTGATCTGGCAGTCCTAGCTGACGGTTACCACTTCCCTCTTTTCATCAGCTCAGCAGCCTGAAAAAGCTTTATCACATAGATCTGAGTATGAACCAGTTTACCGCCTTCCCATCAGTCATCCTGGAGATGCCAAATCTGGAATGGTTAGACATGGGGAGCAACAAACTGAAGGAAATCCCTGGCAACATTGACAGGTAAATATACACCTGGAAAAAAATTCTGCCTTAATTATTTGGCTGTTTTCAGGTTATTTCATACGAACAGTAAAAGCCACTAAAATAAAATGTCTTGTTATGCAGACAGTAACACAGAAATGCAACTCTGTTAAACTACATGATTGCACTATTGACCCAAAGCAAAAGATGGTCCCTAAAATGTAACTGAAAGAATACCACAGCAGACATTTACTCCACTTTAGTTCTATTAGTCTACTCCAGTTGGATGGGGCTAATTGGTCTATAAAATGGCAATTAACAGACATAATAGGCTGCTTTAAAAGTAGAGAATATCATTGGAAGGATAAGTATATTGGGTTGGATCCAGCAGAAAAGCTCAGCTCACAGGAGAACTTGGTGGAGGGAATCTTTCTCATCCTTCCTCAAGTGACTTGCTGTTTGTCCTGAAAATCCTCTGTAGATTAGAAAAAGCATTTCAAACAAAATCCACCACAGGAGGGGACATTGCCAGTATGAGGAAGAAAGACTGGACTACTGTAACTTGCTCTACGTAGGACTACCCTTGAGACTGACCCAGATACTCCAACTGGTACAGAATGCAGTGGCGCGGGTCCTCACCTGTGAGCTGCATTGGTTGCCAGTGATGTACTGACCTTTGGTATTGACCTTTAAAGCCCTGAATGGTCTGGGGCCCACATTTATCTTCGGGACCGCCTCTACTGGTATCCCACCAGAAGAGCATTATGCTCGGTGGCTAAGAACCTACTGGTGGTCCCAGGCCCAAGAGACATCCAGCTGTCCTCAACCATCTGTGCCCTGTGTGACCTGTTACCAGGGGTCATTTGGGGGGGGACGCGGGGGAACGCCATCCCCCCGGGTGAGGTGCGGGAGGGCGGGGCCTGGAGCTCCCTGCTGGTGCCCGCTGGAGGTCGCCGCCGGCTGTGGGGAGGACACACTTCCGGTGATGTCAGGGGGTGTGGCATATGCTAATGAGTTATGCTAATGAGCCCCCCCAGCTCTTTTTCTACGAAATGACCCCTGCCTGTTACAGTTCCGTAGGGCTTGTAAGGCAGAGATGTTCCACCAGGCATTTACTTGAGGACAGCAATAGTTTTGTTTTTTTAAAATTTATTTTATTATTCAATTTATATCCCGCCCTCCCCTCAGGCTCAGGGTGGCTAACAGGGCTCAAGGCCATGCTTAAAACAGTTAAAAACAAGATAAAACAATACAATAATACAGTAAAGTGCTGGTGCTCCAAATATCCATGATTCCAAGATGGGTTCTGGCAAGATAGACCCAGAACAATGATGTAAGTTCCAAAACGATGCTGCCATCCAGTCTTCGTCCCAGGGCCGTCTAGCACCCTGATGGTATCCACACCTTTGTGGTGGCGGTGCGCTGGTGGTATAGTGGCGGCGGCGGCGCCTACTCAAAGGCCCGTCGGAAGAGGTTTTTTGGAAGAGCTCCGTCTTGCAGGCCCTGCGGAACTGCGCAAGGTCCTGCAGGGCCCGGATCTCCTCCGGGAGCTCATTCCACCACGTAGGAGCCACCACCGAAAAGGCCCTGACCCTGGTTGATGTCCCTGGGGCCCGGGGTAACCAAAGGTTGGAGGGCCCGTAGTGCCATCTACTGGCACGCCTTACTTTCTTTCCGCCCCTGAGGTGGTGAGACAACTGATTATTTTAGCGTCATCTTTCAGGCAGACTTGTTTCATTGTATTTTTAACTGTCTTAATTTATGTATTTTTGGTCATGCCTTATGTTGTACATTGCCCTGAGTCCCTGGAGGGCGATTTAAAATCTAATAAATAATAATAAAATAATAAATCAGTTAAAACTCCTGTTCTTCCCTCCTCTTCTGCTAATTCAAACCTATCTGCCCCTTCAAGATAAGGCTTGCTAATTTAGCTAGCATTTTTAGGTCCATAAATCAATGAGTTCCTGAAAGCTTTCTGAGATAGAGGTCATGGTGAATGACAGAACTATTTTGGTGGGAAATGTTTCATTGACCATTTTTTCTCATAAAAATAGTATAAGCCTATCATCAGTTATAAAGATCTATTGTTCATCAGGTCAGACAGAGGTGTTTTTCTTGCCAGTGTGATAGAGTGGTTATAATGCCAGGTTACAACTAACTTTTTAGGGTGCTTTCACACATGCTGAATAATGCACTCTCAATGCACTTTGCAACTGGATTTTACTGTGAGAAATGGTGAGATGGTGAAATTCACTAGCAAATGATTGCAAAAGTGCATTATTTAGCATGTGTAAACACACTTCAAGAAGACTCAAGTTTATATTCCCACTCAGCCATGAAGTTTAGTGGCTAATCTTGAGAAAACCAGTCTCTCTTTCTCAACCCAGCTTTCCTCAGAGGATTGTTGTAAGAATAAAATGCATGATAGCAGAACAACACATGTCTTTATAAAATATTAACAGTTATTTTATTATTATTGTAGGCATAGGCCATAACATCCCAGCATATATACCAACATATAACAGTATGCCACAACAGAAGGATTAAAACGTTTTTACATAACAGGATAAAAACTTTAAAACTAAGATGGTAAGAAATAAATGCAACAACCCCCATAAGATAACATGGAATTACAATTTAGCTAGATTTCTTGCAGAATTAGCAGGTATTAATTTCTTCCTTATATTTATTGATAATAAAGATAATAGTGGCCACTTGGGTAACAAAAAGGATAGCATCAGCCAATAGAAAATTGATATATTCCTCATCTGTGCCAGAAAAATTTACAAGAAGTTGATTCAGGTGCTTGTTTTGATGGACCCATAGAAGGAGCAGTGTAGAACGTAGTATACAATATCTTCCACCTGATTAAGACCGCAAGGACAGAGGTGTTGTTCCACAGGTATTTCTTGAAATCTGCCCTGTAAATACTCAGATGCCTTTCTTAATGTAACATTAGAAAGGTCAGCTAAGTAATGAGAGAAGAATTTGTTTTTCTTAATCTGAGGATACCACTAAGAAAATTTAGATTGTTAGGCCATACCGATATCACGAAGGGCATCTTTTTCAAAAAGCCTTTTACTATTTTTGCTTGAGTCCCAAAGCTTTACAGCCTCTAAAGAGGGCAAGGAGTATAACTGCAGAATAGGGGACAGCAAATTGGACCACTGATTCCCTTCCTTATAGTACCAAAAACAATATTTTACCAAATGGTCATTGGAAATACTGTCAAGTTTCTTATAATATTTTAATAGTTCTAGCCTTAAGAGTGCAGCAGGAGTTCCCAGAGGGATACCCAAGATTTTCCTTAAAAAGTTGTTCTGAATGGTTTCAAGCTGGCCAAGTATTTTCTTGTTCCACCCCCATATTTCAGCCCCATACAAAAGCTGCATGATAAAGTTGCCCTGGAGTACTTTAAGGGCCAGGGCCATTAGCTGGCCACCCTTTGAAAAGAAAAAAATTAAGATAGCTCCCAATGTATGGTGGACAGTTGATAAATTGGCATTAAGATGTGCCTGCCAAGGCAGAGATTCATGAAATACTATGCCTAGCTATTTAAAGTAGGGGCATTGTTCTGTTTCATGAGCATTAATAGTCCATCTATTCCTGGATCTATTATTACCGAAAACTACGATTTTTGTTTTATTATAATTAATTCTTAATTCATCTCTATCACAGTAATCAGCCAGCCTAACTAGTATTCTTCTAAGCCCAATTTTGGTAAAGGACATGATTGCCATATCATCTGCCTGCAGCAGGATTGAAATTTTCTGACCAGCCAATGAAGGGGAAAAGTTCTGGAATTCCATGGCTTGGGCAAAATCATTGCTATAAAAATTAAACAGAAAGGGGACCAACAAACAACCTTTTATAGTTTTGGATGTATTTCTGAATCAGGGCCTTTAATGTCAAACAAACAGTGATCGAGTGTGCTGTGGCCCTGACGGAAACCTGCTCAGGATTGAAAAGGTTTGATGATTCTGCCCAATCTTCCAATTTGAATAAAAGATCATTTAGAAGAAATATCCAAATGCCTGATAGGGCAATAATTAGCAGGGTCTTGCCTATTACCTTTTTTATGAATAGGAATTATAATTGTTTCCAGTTAGAGAGAATAATACAGGTATAATAAATTTCTGAAAAAAGTCTAACTAAAATTGAGCACCACCAATGAGCATTCATCTTAAATTCTCCCCAGGAGCTTTACCGAAGGGCACGATGTCAACCAGCCGACTACATTCTAAGGCTGAAAATGGATTCCAGGTTGGAAGAGCATCCAAGTCTGTAACTGGATACTCGAAAAGTTACTCAGTTTGGGTGTTACTATAGAAAGTAAAAAAAATAAAAATAATGACCAAACCATATTTCTCCTGGAATAAGTGCATCAGTGTTAAAATCACTAACGTGGGTGCCTAAAGTTGGAGCAGCTGATCCAGCTGATCAGAGAGCTGCTCATGTGTGATTCATCAGGCAGTATTCAGCTGAGTAAAGAACAGAAGTTGGCCCTGGCCTTCCTAAACAGACCTCAAACTCCCAGTGGTGGAAACACAAGACTATCAACGACAGACAAATCTGGTTAAATTCTGTCTGACATCAGCTTTGACAAGACTGATGAATCACTGCGCTCATCCAAGCAGTTTACAGGAGGCCCACCTGATCCTTTAAAGAAAACCTGTTCCATTGGTTCTACATTGGACCAGGGAAATGAATCAACAGTTGCAAAAACAGCCCTGAGATAGCTCAGGCAAGCCTGATCTCATCAGATCTCAGAAGCTAAGCAGGGCTGACCCTGGCAAGTATTTGGATGGGAGACCTCCAAAGAATAGCAGGGCCAGGAGACAGAGGCAGGCTATCAAGCCACTTCTCTGAATGTCCTCCATTCCCCAGTAGGAGTCACCAAAGGTCACCATGACTTCCAGGCACGGGCACACACACAAAATGCAACCCCCCCCCCGCCAAATAGTTGCAGAAACAACCCTCATGGTCCCTAATGATGGAGGCCCAATTGAAGCAATCTCCACTACTAAAACTATACTTTGTTATGCTGGAAGTTGTAGGAAGGCAGCCATTCTATAGTCCTAGACCAGTGATTCAAGTCTGAGAAGCAGGAAACTGGAAACCAAACGGATGGATCTAGCACGCCCAGGAGCACTGGGATAAGACTATATGAATTTGTTATCAAAAACAGTTATCAAACCAGAGTCATGTGTTCCAGTAAGCAAATAAAGTTTGGGAAACTGTCCTTGAAATGCAGAGACTGTTGAGTAGTGACTCTTCCAGAATGTTGAGACTGCTGCCCCCTGCCCTGCATCCCTACCCTTGCAGGAACCCCTGTGAGAATTGGGGAGATTGGACAAGAGCTCCATGAACTAGTCTAGCCCCAGAACGCCCTATTTTTTTCTACTTCATTTTTATCCATGTTATAAAATATTGGCTCTAGCACTCTGAGATCCCAGAAGTCTTTCCTTACCTTGCTGTTATAAAATCTCTAATTGGAAGCACCAGACGAAATTGCTCACATGACTCCTTACACACTGACATTCTGTTGCGGAGATATAGCCATACTCAGGTATTACAAGAGAGGTTAAAGAAATGTATATCAAAGTGGGGTTTTTTTAAGCCCCCGGAGGGGATTTTTTATTGATTTTTTAAACACTACAAAAACTAGAACAGAAAAAGGGAAAGGGAAAGCTACATTTAAGGGAGAAAGTTTTTGATTGTAATTGACAGAGCTGTTTTTCTTCACAGAATGGAAAACCTACATACTTTGTGGCTCCAACGGAATGAAATAACTAATTTGCCAGAAGCCATTTGCAACCTAACAAACCTAAGTACCCTTGTCCTCAGCAATAACAAACTTCAGGATATTCCTGTTTGCATGAAAGACATGACGAACCTGAGGTAAAAGGAATTGCCAGAATGTTCAGCTATGGGCACATGTACACAACCTGGCTGCTGCTTTGGGGGAATGTATATTTGTTTGTTTCCAAATGAATAATCCCTTCCCCCACCCCAAGCTCCACTCCTTAACCTAATGAAAACCAGTGAGCTCCCCAATAATGCGCTTCCTTGTTAGCAGTCTGGTTTAGTGTTCAAGGCTATTCAGATTCAGAGGGGGACAAAGTCAGGAGCTTTTGACACTGACAGTTTAATTTCCCAATTATCAAAATCTTCTAATCTTAGAGCCAAAGAAAAAGATGCTGATCGATGTTTCTTCAGTGTTTTCACCAATTGTTGCTGACATCAATCACTTGCATGGCTGTGCAAAGACAACTTTCTTTAGACAGTTGCAAGCAACCAATAAGTTCCCTCTATGTCCAAGCTAGTCCTGCTCTATTCGGGTATTATTTCTGGTGCTTTGCTAATTAGAATGTGTGTCTTCCACCGTTCCCAGTGGTTGGCAAATTCAAGTCTCTCTTTCTGTGTTAATGATTCACAGTGTACACATGCACACAGTGATTTACAAGTCAAACGATTAGCACCAAGCACTCTGCTGGTTTTATTTAGCCCACCTTGTGTGCTATCTCTGGGGTTCCCAAATGTAGTTCTGCCTCCTGTAACCAGTGGGCTGTCTTCCTGTGAGTCCCAAGTGCCAACCTTTATTTACTCACTGTTATACTGCTGCCTGCCCTGCCTTTCTTGAGGTTCCAATGTATGTATTTATTATTTACAAAATTTATACCCCGTCTTTCTGTCCTCATCAGGGCCACCAAGGTGGCTGACAGATAAAAAAACATACATAACAAAAATGCATCTTAAAAACCATTAAAATGAAACAGAAACACATCACTGAAACAATTAAAACCAAGCCAAAATACACATACAAAAACAAAAATAATTAAAACATAGGGCAGGCAGGGAGGATCACTGAGTGTACACCAGATGAAACAAAAGTCTCCACCTGCTGACAGAAGAGAAAAATTCCAGAGTTTTGGTGCCACAACCAAGAAGGCCCTCTCCTGGATTGTCACCTGCCTAACCTCAGAAGGTGGGGGAAACTGTAGCAGGGCCCCAGAAGATGAGATGACCTTAATAATTGGGTTGGTTCCTAAGGAAGTATGCAGTCCTTTAGGTATGCGGGTCCCAAGCCATATAGGGTTTTAAAGCTCAACACCAGCAGCTTAAATTGTTCCCAGAAACAGACTAGGAGCCAATGCAGATAGGCCAAGGCTGTAGTAGGCTTGCCAAGCCCCCGCTGGGGGCGGGTAAATTCCCGCCTGGGAGGCTCGTTACCTGCCGCCGGCGGATCGGGCCGCGGGGGAAACTCCATCCCCTGCCGGAGGGCGTCCCCAGCGTGATGATGTCACCCGGAGGTAACATCATCACGCTGGCCACGTTGTGTGGGGGGGGACACTCTGTGAATCGAGGAAAAACTCTATGGTTTTCCCTCGAGTCACGGTGCCCCGCCCACAATGTGGGTGACGTGATGACATCACTTCCGGTGACATCATCGTGGCACGCACGCGGGGAGACTTCCGACGGAGCCAGGAATCCCCCCACTTTGCAGGTAAGTCGACTTGACAACCCTAGGCTGTAGTAATATGCTCCCTAGAACCTACTTCAGTCAACTTCCTGGCTAGAGAATTCGGCACCAGTGGAGGTTTCTGAAATATAAAGCCTAGTTGCCTGGAGAACATCTGTACTTACTGCAGGGGAACTGCTGTTACCAATCCTAGCTAAAACTGACTTCAATAGCCAACTCAGAATACACTTGACTATTGCAAATTAATACAATTGTGTAAATCAGGGATATATTTGATATCCCCTGCCCAGCTAAAGTCAGCTGACACTAAGCCCCACTAAAACCATAGAGCAGCAACAAGTTTGGAAGTAAGTATTTGAATGAACTGACATCATAAATGCAGGATATAATTCTGTAAAATGCTGAAGATTACGCAGTACTAACACAAGCACCACTGATAGCAGCACAAGCCCTGTTCCGAACAATTTCTCCCAGGTATCAAACAATTCGGCTTGAAATTGCTCTTCCGTTGTACTTGTAATCCAAAATCATTGCATTAACATATTATTCTCAATTACTAGATTTGTCAACTTCAGAGACAATCCACTGAAGCTTCAGATTACACTCCCTCCGTGTGAGAATGAGGAAGAGGAGGAAGAACGAGAATTGTATGGAATTCAGTTCATGCATGCATACATTGAGGAACTGCTCAGCAGAAAAGGTACCTTTGCATGCTTAAACAAAACTGAATTCCTGGAGGAAAACATGCATCTATCTTTTGAAGAAACACAACCTTTTTAATAGCAACTCTGTATATAGTTCCTTCTCTTTGGCCCAGGTAGGAACAGTCCGCCAGCTTAGGTTGCTGCTGCCTCTGTCTCTGAATTTCTTCCCCAGAATGTCAAAAGCTGTGCGTTTTTTTTGTGGGGGGGGGTGTTGGGGGAGAAGGGGGAGGTCAGGGAAACAGCAAACTGTGCTAGCACGCACAATTTTAATGCTTTTGTCCTCTTAGAGTGAAACTTATCTAGGCCAAGCAGAGCTGTGCTAGATGGAGGGGAACCCCCCCCCCCCCCAGCGGCAGCCTGCTGTACTTCCCCCTTCCCCAGAACAATGTGGAGGAGTAAAGTGCAAGACTGGGAGTGGGATGACAGATTTACCAAAAACTGCCTTCCCCCACAAGCAGAAAGGGTAGGATCCAAGCCAAGATTTTCAAATGCAGGCAGGAAAAGAATTCTAAGAAGATCTGTAAGCACTCAACATACATACAGGTGAACAAGTGAAATGAACAAATATCTGCTACGTAAGGACGAACACACACCGACTGACACATTTCCACCTAATCTACCTGCTCCCATGATTTTCACCATATAAACGATAATGGCTTGGAACCACTGGAGATTTCTATCCATAGAGTGGAACGTCCATGCTTCTCCTTGCAACCCAAAGTACTGTTCACAGGACCTCAGGAATAGCATGATGGGAGAGTTGGAGGTCTGCATGAGGTGGAATGGCAAAAATGACTCCCCCTTCTGTCTGTGGAAATCCTCCATGAGATCCAAGCCATTGTTTCTTACTAGACAGATTAGGATCCTCTGACTGGTGCAAGATATGTTTCCTCACTTGCTCACTTCTAAGAGTCCAGAGACCTAGAGGTAGGATCTTGTTACTGAAGTGGCACTTTAGAGATTTAGAATAAGATGGGTGCAGTAGCACCATTTCCTTCTCTCCCTCATGCTGCTGTGCTAGCAGATGGCAGTATGGGAGACGGGTGTTTCTCAGAGCCTAGAAACCAGCTGGCTCATGCCCTGCTGCTCTTTAAAATGGTCTGAAAGAAACAAACTTTAGTCTCTGTAAGTGTTTAGCGCTACTTGGTAATGCTATCCGAGTCAAGCAGTAAAGAAAAGCAACCACCTAAGAAATCCTGCCTTTTCTTACCTTCTTTAATTTGACACAAATGATCTCATGAGTTCAAATACAGTTTCTAAAAAGAGAGTAAAACAGTTCTTATAACACATACAAACAAATTAGTTGAGACTGTAAATAAGTTGTTGCATGTAAAATTAAGTACGTGGATTCTTCCATTTCAACCTCTTGTCTTTCAGAAAACACTATTGCTGCCATCAATAATAATTGAAAATAATATCCGCCAATCTGCTTTTACTACTACTAGGAAGTAACGAAGAGCACTCATATCCACTGTGACAAAAATGTTGTGATATTCTCTCACTGCGGGACAAAGGCCGTGGTGTTTTGTTCTTTTGGTTCAAAGGAGACTGTAGAAGCCAATGTTGATTGGTAAGCTCAATATAGGATGTTATCAAATCTAAAAAAATTCTCCACAGCACATGTCCAATCATACTAAAATGCTCCTCTCCCTTTAAGAAACTGAGTAAGGTAATGAAAACTGACGTGGTACTGCTGTCAATAGCACATTTTCTAAGGACACACTGGGATCCGTATAGTACTGCAATACAGCATCGTACCCTCTTTGCTGTAAATATTCAATCCGGCCATGATCAATCAACAGTTTACACAGGTGACCTATCTGCTTTCGTTCCTCGGTGGTCAGCAACCTAGAATCAAACGGGAAAAAAAGTTTCATTACGATATAAAAGATTTGGGTTTTTTTATTCTGGTTAGACTGGAAATATTTTAATTATTATAGTAAGTTGCCTTGAACCACAATGAAAGGTGGGGTAGAGATGTTTTAATAAATAAATAATGATAACATTTCAATTGAGCAAGTACCAACTTGCCAATGAACCACAGGCAGTTTCCTTTCTGGTAGCTGATGTTAGTCCTGCGGTTACATGATCTGTCGGCAAATTCTTGTCTATTATAATATCTTTGCGACACTTTCCTGCAAAGTATTAATGTGACAATCTCGCAATTTTACTAGTGGCATAATTTTCTTTTATCATCATTCTGTAATTGTTATTTATGTTTGTACTATGATTTTATTATATGGTTGAAGACCTCCATCAAAGGCGCTTATTGTTAATAAAGGAAAGGATAACATTTCAAGGAATAAAAATATTACATCAGATGCAAGCAAAAGTTCAAATTTTCTTAAAATATAAAAACCTTGTAGTCCCTGCCTTTGATCTCAGAATCTAGAATGCTTCCAACCTGAAAGACTATCACTTACATAAAACATACTTGTGCTACGAATAGTCACTTACCCTTGCAGACTATCTGAACTACACTCCACGCTTCTGTCATGCGGGTCCTGTTCTTCAGCCTCGCTGCCTTGCTCTTTGCTCTCCACTTCAATTGTCGAGGTCTGGGGACCACTTTCTCTCATGCCACAAGTGGCCCAGCTTGTCATTCTTTTAAAATAATCGAATTCTGTCACTCCAAGCCCTACTGCGGTAAAAAACTCTTGACCCACATAATGCTTCCAGTCGCACCTATGATGGCAACACAGCGCAATAGCAATGCCAGCCACAGGGCTCCAGTTCTCAACTGAAGACTTGCTACACATTTCACTGGGAGAATTATTGGGAGGTCCGTCAGTTCCACTGCTCTTCCAGCGTTTAGCTGTTGGACTTTCCCTTCCGTCATCATCACAGAGGTTTGCATAGCTTTCAGCCAAACATCTTAGAGCAAGATCTGTGAATGTACACATAATCCAATCTGAATTGAGGCTCTTTTACTCCACAATATAACAAATGCACATTTTTTTTTACAATATTTTGATATAATAGTTGATGCCTGGAACATCCTTTTCCTCCATAGTTTCAGAGGCCAGCTGTGTTCGTCCACACCAGAATGGCTGGATCCTTAGAGACCAACAAGATGTTTGGGGTACGAGCTTTTAAGAGTCAAAACTCCCTTTATCAAATACATTTTCCCTGATATTACCTATACAGAGTGGAGAAGTCTGGCTCAGTAACAGACTTTTGGGGTGGCATTTTTTCTGCTCAGCATGCTTCCTGGCAGCCATGTTCTGTGCATATGTACTCGAAAGACAAACCCACTGAGTTTCAAATGGACTTTCTACCAAGTAAGTGTGCACAGAATTGCAGCCCAAGTAAATTACAGTAATTTATTTTATATCTATAGTTACTATTTGGTAAACCTCATTACTTATGGTTACCTTTACATAAAATCAGAACAGACGTTTTAAGCAAATCCAGTACATTCAGAACCAAAAAAAGGTAATGAAATCTCTGAAGTCAGAGCCTGCCCTTGGGTCATGTGACCACCACACATGGCCTTGTGTAACTGTAAGCAAAGTAAGCTTTCCCAGCATGCATTCATCTGTCCTTTTCACCAATACTGATAGCCTGTACAATGTGTACCTGTTGCAGAGCCACATACATGCTTTCCAATGCCTACCACAGGCAGTTTCTCTTTCACAAGAACTGGCACCTTACCTGAAAGAAAGAAACCCCGTCCAGATTACTTATTTTAGTCTGCCTCCTTCTGAATAATGTAGTTACAGTGTGCGTGTGTTACAAAAGATAAACCACAGGTGGAAAAAGCACAGAAGAACAATCGGTGTTGAGAACCTATTCAATTAATTAATAAACAAATCAGACAGTGTTCTAAATTGACACAGCCCCTTTAATCAATTTAGCCTCAGGAAAATATTTTGCAAATACAATCTACAAACTAGGCAGTGTGAACCAAGCTGCAAAGCTAATAAACACAACAATTCACACTAAAACAAAGCACTCAGTTTCAGTCATTTGTATACTTAACCGGGCTTCTGAGTATTCAAATCTTTATACTCCATGTACAAAAATGAATACTCTCTGAGTCACCTGTTTTCATGAAGTGGTTCTGGGCAGGGTTCAGCTAATGAAACCCTCCAATGGGAAAGGCCAATGGAGCCACCATCAAGTAAACAGTGATGGTGGCCTGTTCACTACCAATCACCCAATCTGGCAGCCTCCCTCCAGCCCTAGGAAGTCTTCCTCCAAGTTAAGTGGCTCTTCCTCCAGCAGAAGGCTTCTTCTGCTGGAGAAAGTCTTCAAAAGTGGCTGTTTGGAGTGGCAGAATAACACACCAGTGGCAATATCTGCCTCTCTCATCAATAGGCTTTGTTAGCCAAATCATGGCCAGAATTACTGTCTCAATGATCAAAATTCAGAATTACTCTTTTAAATGAAAAACTGTTGTTTCAACCCAAAGTGAATTTCCTGTATCATGGTCATATTATTGTTTTCAGCATGCTCCTGTCCACAGAAAGGGAAGTATCTGTAAACTAAGTATTCCCAACACAGCCCTGTTTTCCCCAACCCCCCCCCTTTTATGCATGCACAGGGACCACAAGGTGCTATCAGAAAGAATGGAAAGTATGTGTGTGGTTCCCAGACCTCCAGCCCACACACTCTTTGGTGCAAGTTATTTTCTAAAAACACAGTACAAGGTAATCAAAGCAACTTACTTAAGCACAAGTGCTGTATATCAACTTGAAGCCTCTCAAAACTGTTTCTTCTGTGCTTCCCATCTACCTGTGTAAACAGAACAATCTGTGATTATGAAGTCAGAATCTTATTTAATATCCTAGTCAGCAACTTATGGTTCCATTTTAGCTGTTTGGAAACAAAAAATATTAAGCAGCAGAAAATACCAAGAGTCATTTATTACTAGAATATTGTTATGCTTTATAAGTTTTGTATCTGAAATAACTTATATTATTGGCAATCCTATTTTTGTAAAAGAGACCAGTAAATTATAAAATATGGCACAATGCCAAAGGTGGGGGGGGAGAAAAGAAAGCTTCGAATAATGTTGTACCTTAAATCTGGTAGTTGCTCTTTCAACAAGAAGGAAGTGAACATCTTTAGCATCTTGTAAGGCTCTATCAACCCAGTGAGACAGTTTTCCTCGTCCAGCTCCAAATTCAACAAAACATCTTCTTGGTCCAAGCAAATTTAATCTTTCCATGTTACCTAATATAGAAGCCTACAAACTTCAAAAGATTATTTTATGAATCCAGGAAACTAGTTTTCTGTGATATCTGAAGGAAAATATTAATACAACTTATGGTAAATGTATTCTCTATAGCCTCTACGATGGCTAGTTCTTTTTTTATTTTTAAAGTTTTATACACAAGGAAGCAATCATTAAAAAGATAAAATAATGTACATACAAAATCAAATGGCGCGTTTACATTGAATCCACACTGAATAATTATATTCTTCTAGACTTCCCCCCATTTATAAACATCTTGATGCCTCTGAAAAGACATGAGTTTAAACAAAGTTTAAGAAATTCTTAAGTTTTCCCCAGCCATTCTTTCGTAGGAATAACTTTGTTTCCAACCCTTTGCAAGTGGGGCCCGGGGGAAACCCCAACCCCGCATGCGCGTCACCCAGAAGTGACGTCGCATGCTGGGGGTGGGGCCACGCCATTTGAGGGGAAAACTCTGTGTTTTCCCCTCAAATGGCGTGGCCCCGCCCAGCGCGTGACGTCACTTCCGGTGATGCTCTGGTGGCGCGCGCGCACACGCGCATCCGCGAAAGGCTCCCAGACCGGCTGGACGCTCCCCCGCCGGTACGTTTTGCAGATTTGGCAACCCTATTGTCTCATGATAAAGAGCCCACACAATTTAGGAGAAAAAACCAATGAAGCCTGTGAGATCAACATGCCTACTCCTGTCCATAATACAGTGGAAACCATATTCCCAAATTACTGGAAACAAGGGCCATTCCACCACAGACATCAGAAATGAGGCCTCTCAGCAGTACAGAACCATCAGCTTTCTTTCTCATTCTGATACATCCTTGCTAAAGGCCAAGGTGATAAGAACTACTGATCTACACTGGCTAGTGCTGATACCGCCTATAATTATGGAGGACAGACACACAAAAATCTTACAAATCACACATATCATAGCTTTCTGTGCAGAATCTATTTAGATCCTGTGCAAATGGTCCTATTAGACAGGTAAGAGAGATCCCCTATTGCTGATAGAATTTGAAGATCAGATGACTACAAGATTAACAGTGCATTCCTATGCAGAGCTACTCCACTCTAAACTCATTGATTTCAGTGGGCTTAGAGTTAAGTAACTCTTTTTAGGATTGCACTCAGAGAACTCAGGTGGTAGTAAATTGCAATCCAGTATTATTATGTACTTAATAATATAGCAGTTACTTTTAGCAGATACTTTTATGAACTGGATTTATTTCTTGTGGAAACTCAGAACCAGCAGAACATCAAGAAAAACTCTTTTATGTATAGAATAGTTTAAGGAAGAAACTATTTAGCAGCTCTTTAACAACATCTGCAGACAATGCAGCCAATACTTAAATGTTTAAAAGAAAAGTGTTTAAAAGTGGTGGTTCTAACCTTTTTGAGTATGAGGACCCCTTTTTTTAATGTAAAAAATGTTTGTGGACCCTCCCACATGACA